CCCCATCCATTCCTTGAAAATATTCTTATTTTCCCCCCATCCATTCCTTGAAAATATTCTTATTTTCCCCCATCCATTCCTTGAAAATATTCTTATTTTCCCCCAATCCATTTCTTGAAAATATTCTTATTTTCCCCCCATCTATTCCTTGAAAATATTCTTATTTTCCCCCCATCCATTCCTTGAAAATATTCTTATTTTCCCCCCATCCATTTCTTGAAAATATTCTTATTTCCCCTCATCCATTCAATGAAAATATTCTTATTTTCCCCCCATCCATTCCTTGAAAATATTCTTATTTTCCCCCATCCATTCCTTGAAAATATTCTTATTTTCCCACATACATTCCTTATAAATATTCTTATTTTCCCCCAATCCATTCCTTGAACATATTCTTATTTTCCCTCCATCCATTCCTTGAAAATATTCTTATTTCCCCTTATCCATTCCTTGAAAATATTCTTATTTTCCCCCCATCCATTCCTTGAAAATATTCTTATTTTCACCCCATCCATTCCTTGAAAATATTCTTATTTTCCCCCCATCCATTCCTTGATAATATTCTTATTTTCCCCCATCCATTCCTCTTATTTTCCCCCCATCCATTCCTTGAAAATATTCTTATTTTCACCCCATCCATTCCTTGAAAATATTCTTATTTTCCCCCCATCCATTCCTTGATAATATTCTTATTTTCCCCCATCCATTCCTTGAAAATATTCTTATTTTCCCCCAATCCATTCCTTGAAAATATTCTTATTTTCCCCCAATCCATTCCTTGAAAATATTCTTATTTTCCCCCAATCCATTCCTTGAAAATATTCCTTTTTTCTCCCCATCCATTCCTTGAAAATATTCTTATTTCCCTTCATCCATTCCTTGAAAATATTCTTATTTCCCCCCCATCCATTCCTTGAAAATTTTCTTATTTTCCCCCCATCCATTCCTTGAAAATATTCTTATTTTCCCTTCATCCATTCCTTGAAAATATTCTTATTTTCCCCTCACTGCATTGTCTTGTTTTCTTGCAGAAGTTTGATACAGAGATTATAAAGATTTTTGATAATTTCTCTATGATTTGTTTATTTGAGAAGAAACATTTTCGTAGAAGGCTTGGTAAGTTATTTTACCCCTTGTATCCGAGAGAGGCGGATCCTTTTTTACGGCAAAGTTTGCTTATTGTTAGTAGCTGCTTCTCTGTAAATGGAGGACCAATTGAAATTTAGACCGACTTTTTTTTTACCCTTAATATGGTAAAAGATGTACTTCCTCATAAATTGCCCTTGCAAAAAAAGCTTCAAAAACAAACCTTAAAACATGGGTGTAGGTTTTCTGTGGAAAAAAGAATTCAAAAGAAATTAAATGTTATGTTTGCGTGGAGCGCTAAATTTTTGGGGATAATCCTCATTTCCTCCAATTTGTTTAACAAAAAATCCGCAAATTTTGCATTTGAACGAAACTGGCTATTTTTGCTTAATAATGTCTTAATAATTCTAGCTAGTTTGATGTGTTAGTTCCTCCAGACTACCTTGATGATGAGACCCTTAATAGTAAATCTGATAATTCTAGTTAGATGTGTTAATTCCTCCAGACTATCTTAGGACCACTTCTAGCATTATATCTGATAATTCTAGTTGGCTGTGTTAGTTCCTCCAGACTATCTTAGGACCACTGATAATTCTAGTTGGATGTGTTAGTTCCTCCAGACTATCCTGATGAGACTCCTAGTACTATATCTGATCTACCAGAGGATTCAGCTCCGATCAAATCCTCCTCGTTTAAGGATATTTATAAAAGGTTAATTTTAAATTTGATTGATTGATTGATATTTAATTAATGTATTCATATTTTCCTCTTTATTGGTTTAATGCCTAAATGGATGACGTAAGTTCAAGTGACCCGTTGTCTGATCAATGTGGAAAATATTGATGTTTTTTTATCTTGAAATTGTTTATTTCTGATAATTACTTCGTGTTTCTGTAGTTGTAATTCGTAAGTCACTTTTATAAGAACATAAATATCTCCATCATTCTTGACTAGAGACAAAGCTTGTCTTGTTTCTGTAGTTGAAATCTTTGTACGGTCAAGCTTTTAATGGTATCGTTGTGTCACTGTTATTAAAAACTGTTTTTGTTTAGTTGGATTAAAAGTGTAGAAGCTTATGTTCCGGCGTGGGAAGTATTAGAAGGTAAGGAATTAAACATTGTCAATTTTTGATTTAGATTTTATTTAAATGAAATCATTCTCCAGGCGCCATTTTGGGGTATTTTTTATTTTCTTGCTTGTATTGTATGTGGCATGACTGATTCACAACGGTACCCTTCAAACATTTATCTGAGGATTTATGATGAAAATGTAGTTGTAAAGATATAAATTCTGTCAATTTAATTCATCGTTTCTGCTGCTTAAATACGCTGGTCACTCACTAAATGGCTATTTCAAATAGATAAGAAAAACATCCTTGTTCTTTTTGCTTAGACGTTGGGTTTAGAATATACTGCTTGCATGTAGCTTTTCAAACGGGCGGTCACTAAAAACTTTGTGAGCAGTCCCGTAATTTCTAATGTTTAGAAGTAGACCGTGTATGCTGGGTGCTGGACCCTGATCCACCAACACCTTTAAATCTATACAGGTAAGTTCAAACAAATAAAGGGGTGTAAATTTATTTTTTAAATCATTTCCCCCCCCCCACTTTTTTAATGTTAGACATTTCTCTTCCCCTATTCCAACTTTTAATTTTTTCCCTAAGTTATTTTACGATCTTTACCCCCTCCACCCCTCCTCGGGAAGGTAATTTTTCAAAATATATACCCCTGAACAAATGTATAAGCTTTTATTTACATTAAGCATAAAGAGTTGACCATTTATTTTTTAAAATAATATTTGCTTTTAATGATTTTCTTTATCATTTTAGATAATCCAAAAAGTTTCGCATACATTTTTTTTGTAATATCAAAATTATAAGGGGGTCTTGAATGAATCATTTTTAATGTTTTTATGTTTCATAAACGCTGTCCAATCTGAATTCTCAAGAATACATCCCTTTACAACATTCAGGGTTGATAACTAAACAGATTTAAGTTTTTAGGAGTTAATAAAATGTAATTTTGCTAAATTTTTCATACTGCAGGGGTATCTTGGCAAAAAGAAAAAAATTGAATAAACCTGACTACTTTAAAGATCGCAAGAACGTTAGCAGGCTACTAATTACACGATTAATTGATTAATTGGTTGATTTATTGATAGATTAATCTCACTTTTAGACGAATAGCTGTCGGATCTTCCATATCCCTTCAGATTGAAATAGAACCAACTGATCCAACACAACTTCCACAAATTAAGTAAATCACATAGATTCAGTATATTATTAGAAGTTGCATCAATTTTGAAGACAGGGTCAACTTTAAAGTGTCGCAACGCTTTGGGCTTTGATTTTTTCGCTCTAACTCTCTTATGCTTTTTTGAAGCCCTTAACATGTTTATTTGAGAACTGTTCAGCAACGTTTTTAGGTTTAGATTTCAAGAAGTAAATGGCAAACTCTCATCTATTTTTGAGTGAGAGATTACAACCTTTTAATCACAGTGAAGTTCAGCCATATGTGGCGGAGAGCGCCAACAATTTAAAAGCAATGGTTGATTTCTAAGATATTTTCCCCTGTTTTGATAATGACTCATTTTAATTTTTAAATATAATATATTTAACAAAATCTTAATTATCTGGTGTTCTGGGGAAGAAGGAAGTGACTGAAGTTCATATTGGGTTGGATCATATTGGGTTGGATCATATTGGGTTGGATCATACTGGGTTGGGTTGGGTTAGATTGTTTGGGTTGGTTTGGTTTGGTTTGGTCAATCCTTTCTTTTTTTATCTCGTATTTCCAAGTTTAAGAAAAATACACCACGGTCCTTCATATCTTTGTTAACCAAATGAGTAAATTTTAATTTGGGTTGAGTTTGATTTGATTTGTAAATTTTAATAAGTTATTCTATGTTTTTAGAACGAATTCTTAATATTGAGTTCCCATCTCGAATAAGTGTGGCCAGGGAGGAATTAAAGGTAAAGGTTTAGTTCTACGTAATTTTCTTCACTTAATTATTATGTGGAATAACTTTTATTATCGATATAGGTTCAATAGGTAAAGCACAAAAATATAATCTCTTAATATTTTTTTTCTCTTTTATTTTAATTTCCTGGATTTTCTTGGAAAAAAAGTGTTTTTGGGGGCTTGTTACAATTAGATTCAGTGTTTATTATTATTCAAACTGAATTAAGTTTGAACCAAGTTAAATGGTGATTACTTTTATTTTTGTTTTTATATTTATTTCTAGATTGATTGTTGGATCTGCTATTGTTATAATTTAGAGGGAAGTATTCCATCTATACTCTGTAAAACAGAGAGGTAGGAGTTTATTTATTACGCAAAGCTGCGATGCATGTGTTAATCTCTGTTTGTCTTTTTGTATGTTCGATCATAACTCAAGAACCCCTCGACTGATTTAACTTAAGCTTTTATTGTGGAACTCGGGAGAACCACGGGAATGTTGTATGTCTGATCATAACTCAAGAACCCCTCGACCGGTTTTCTTAAAGTTTGTATTGTGGAGTTCGGGAGAACCAAGGGAATTTTGTATGTCCGATCATAACTCAAGAACCCCTCGACTGATTTCACTTAAGTTTTAAGTGTGGAACTCGGGAGAACCACGGGAATGTCTTAAGCTAGGCTTAAAAGTTCGTAGTTGAACAGTTTGACTCGTAGTAAGAAAAAATTGTTTCAAGGCAAATTTGGGTTTTTAAATTAGTCTATAAAGAAGCAGTCTCTGTTTGTCTGTCTGTTTGTATGTCTGATACCAACTCAAGAACTCCTTTACCGATTGGCCATAAATACTGATTGAGGAACTCGTGAGAACCACGAGAATGTTTTAGCCAGGCTTAAAAGTTCTTAGTTGAATAGGTTGACTCTTATCAAGAAAAATTTGTTTCCAAGGTAAAGCTGGGTTTCCAGGTTAGTCTGTATATAAAGTACTAATCTCTGTTTGTCTGTCTGATCATAACGGGATTGTTCTTTGAGATTCTAAGTTGAGTTTTAGTTTTTTAGGGAAAAATAGCTAAAATCGTAAATTACGACTAAGGGGGGGTAAACGGTGGGAGTAACTTTGAGAACCCTGGGGAACGTTGGGTTCCTAAGCTAGTGTATAGTATATCAACAATCATCAATGTGTAAATTAATAATTTATGGCATTTGCCTGTCGTTTCCTAGTACACATTTACCTGAACAGATTTGCCTAAATTTTGATTGATGAACTTATCAGAGTTAACAAAGGTTTATCTCAGGTGCTCTGCATGTTTTCATCAGTCCTGTATTTATGAATGGTTAAAAGCTCTGCCAGAAACTAGGTAATCTTTAGATAGATGGATAAGGAAAGAATGACTGTGTGACAAAGTGACAGATTGACAGATTGACAGAGTTACAGAGTTACAGTGGGACACAGAGTGATAGAGTAAGAGAATGACAGAGTGACTTTGTCACAGAAGAATTTTATTTTGTGACAGACATTGCTTAGGATCCGGATGCGTTGGATCCGCAAGATTTTAGCTTCCTGGAGCAGGATCTGCAAAAATAAGCGGATCTCCGGATCCAAGGGGCAAAATATCAATCAAAAAATGCGGAAAAAAAACCTTTTTTATTCTCAAAACCCAAATCTGAAGTGTTGAAAAAAGAGAGGTTAAAAAAATTTCCTGTTGAATGGTTCATCAAAAAAATAAGCGAAAAAAAAGAACACAAATAATTTGACAATTCTGCTTTGTTAAAAAATTCAGTAAATCTTAACAAAATGTTCATTATCTCGATCCGGATCCGGAAATATTTTTTCCAGTGCGGATCCAGGATCCTAATCCGCATCAAATTTGAATGGATCCTAAGCACTGGTGACAGAGTTATAAACAAAATTTTAATTTTAGAACGACTCTGGAGACTGCCTTCGGTTCCTGTCCGTACTGTAAATCCCCTATTTCGGTTCACATACCAAAATGACGCAGATTGACTAAGCTCAATTGACCGTTGCTTAAGAAGAAAAATCAATAACTCAAGTTGTTGCTTTACAAATATTTATTTAAACTCTGAGGTTTAATGAAAATGTATATTTAATAATGATTCTAAAATTCTAAAATTAAAATGTATCATTATTTTTAAAATACTATTTCAGAAAAATGGACAGTACGATAGCACTGCTTGAGGATACTGTGTGTGAGGTAAACAATTTCTATAAATATCAAAAATAATCAGGCAGACAATTCACGGTGTCTTAGTTTAGCCATTTATTACGCATGACAAGACACCTTTTGGGATGAGTATTTTTCCTCCTTTTCTTGATACTAATTCTGAAGATGGANGGGAACAAAAAAATTGGACTCGAGTCTCTTTTCAAATAAAAATATATGAATAAATCCATAAAAACTGGCAATTTTTCCCTTAAAAAAAATCAAGCAATGATGCCAGGAAAGGTATTTAAAGTGTATTGAATATTATATCATATCTGTTCGGTTTCATAGTAGTAAACCTATCGTGTAAGAATTCCCATTATTACACGGTTCAGGAGGAACAATTTTAATATTGTTCGCTTCCTAGCGTTTAAGAATGTTTATTCTTGCACTGTAGGTGTAGAATTTTCATTCTTTAACGCTCAGACCGTGTAAGAATGGAAATTATTACATGGTCAGAGCGTGAAAGAATGAATATTCTTACAAGCTCCAAGCATTAAAGAATGGAAATTCTTACACTAGTTGAAGATTATTCATTCTTACACGCTCCTTATATTGATCTTTTCAGTATAGATCAATATTGATATTAACTTAATTATTTTGTACTGACAACATGCACAGGGCAAACTCACCTTTTTTCTTTTACATTAATACATGCAAACTTACCTTTTTAACTTTAAAACAACATACTCACTTACCTTTTTCTTTTATATGAAAACATGCTCACTTACCTTTTCATGCTCACTTACTTTTTGTTTTTGAAGTATTGATATACCTTAATTCAGAAATATCAATTTGAATCTCAACCCTAGTCCTGACAGAAGAGTGGAAATTAACATTTTCTGACCATTTCCAAAAATATGGACGATGCCTTTAGCCTTACATTAGACACTTTCATCAAACTGCCGAGTCTCAAAGCATGATGCCCGACTGCCTACTTTATTATTTTTTTTTAGTTCATCTTCATTTCAAACCAAGTTTGGTGAGATTTTGCAAATCTCTGCATACTTAACATAGTATGGTCAGAGATTTTCAGTCTGAGTCACCATATCTCACATAGTTCGAGATGGTGAAGTGAAACCACAATCAAAACCAAAAAATATAAAAACTTATCATTGAAATATTAGTGTCACAACTTTTAATGGAGTCTTAGCACTCCATAGCAATGAAAACAAACCAGTAAATCTTGCTTCATGAATAAAAGACAAAGATCTTCATCAGTTCATGTCGAACTGATTCTTACTAGATAACCTGCTTTTATCTCCTCTTTTTGGAAGATTTAGGATCTAATATCCAGAAAATGATTTCTTCTATAAATGAAGACACGATTTTGTTCAGTAGATAAAGACAACCCTTTACTATACCTTCTTCCCATCTAAAAAAAACTCAGGGCACATTAAACATGCTGTATCTAAATGTAGTATCAACTTGAAAAAACGAGCAAAGTCACTAGAAATTTCTTAACAAACAAACTAAACTAAGGAAACAATCACACCACATGCATTACTTTCAAATTCAGCACCAATTTTTACTTTTAAAATGTTTTTTTTTTTAACATATTAACATTAGAAAATAGTGATAGTCAGAACAAGAGCATACAACTTATTTGCAACCAATGTGAACTGTTCCAACTTGAAATAGTCTGGATTTCACCAGAATTATTTTTTGATATAATTTTTTGGGTATGTGCCCATGGAACCTCACAAATATGATATAATAATAATCTTATGATGATAAAAATGTAACAATGGAATTCTTAAACTCGATGAAATAATCTTGATGCATTCTTTAACTCAGGCCTGCGGCCTTCGTTAAAGAATACATCAAGATTATTTCATCTCGTTTAAGAATTTCCATTATTACTTTTTTTTTCCTCATAAGATTATCATATTCTATGAGAAATATGCAAACTCAGCTTAGTTTTCTCCTAGACATTTCCAGGACATTGTAAACATAAGTCAGATAATAAAAATACCTTAAAGGGACTGTACACATAACATCAAGCAATTCCATATTTAAATAGGACAGTGCCCGAATCACAATGGTACCTGTTAAACTATCTTAATAGCGTTACTTTAAAGAAATTGATTTTGTGCCCTTCACATATAATATATTTCAAATATCTAAGGTTTACACCATGAGGTTGCAACGATATAAGGATCAGACAATTTAAATTTGTGGCAAAGAATCAATTCCTTAGAACAGTCCCTTAAAAGTGTGTGTTGTCCAGGTGCCTAGTACCCCCGACCTAGTTGACTCGGTGGCCCAGGATGATTCGGAGGATGAAGTATTTTTTGGAACAATTTCTGAGAAGGAGATGCTGGGACATGGTTCAAAGTAAGTATTGTTATCCTGACTTTTCTGAATTTCCCCATACTTCCTCTTCTCCCTCTTCCCTTTTCAAAGCTTAGTGAAGTCTTTTTGAGTCACTGTTTACAAGCCTTTCTGTAGATTTCATGGAATTTTTATTAAAAAGACGACATTTGAAGAAATTCAATATAATGATAAAAAAAGAACTTATCGATTTTAACATCGATTTATTAAGAAAATTATAACAATTTCTGAATGTACTTTTTCAGGTATAATAAGAGAAGAACTATAAGTGACACAGAAAGAAGAAGATCATATGAAGTTTTAAAATCAAAACCTCAGGAACTGGGTCTTTATATTTATTTAGTTTATTTATTTGGCGGATAGCAATAATACGAGTATTTACTTACGACTAACTATATTTGATTTTTAAAGTTACAAAGTTAATATGAATAAATATATCTTGTGGCTATCTGAAAACTCCCACTTCCTTCATCCTTGCCGCGAAAGGTTCTTCAAATGAAAGACGACTTTCATAGCCGCCACATTTAAACATTAAATCACTAACAGTCAGAAATTTTTTTGGTCATAAATCAAGATGGATTTTAAATATTCGTCTTGAAACACTGAGTTCAGAAACGTTTATCGTGAAAAATTTTTTTAAAACATTGTTGACATAAAAAACCAATTAATCTAGTTTTCCTCTCTTGGTTCCCTGGGTAGCAATTCTTCCAATAGATCATCTCTCTACACTGCAGAACATTCTATAGTAGAGGAGGACGAAGGTAGTATTATTCTGATTTCTGTGACCAGTTCGGTCAGCCCATGGATACTTTTCGGCCGCTAGGAGCGCCGACCCCCTATTTCATTGAATGATGGGTTGTCCTTTAATAATAATAATAATAACGAAGAGCTGGCAAATAATCTGGTGATTGTGTCATCAAGAATTTGTAGTCTTTTCGAGATTATTTATATAGTCGAGGATATCCTGAAAAAGTCTCATTTCATTTCATTTCATTTCATTTCATTTCATTTCATTTCATTTCATTTGAATTTCATTTGAATTTCATTTGAATTTCATTTGAATTTCATTTGAATTTCATTTCATTTCAATTTCAATTTCAATTTCAATTTCAATTTCAATTTCAATTTCAATTTCAATTTCAATTTCAATTTCAATTTCAATTTCAATTTCAATTTCAATTTCAATTTCAATTTCAATTTCAATTTCAATTTCAATTTCAATTTCAATTTCAATTTCAATTTCAATTTCGATTTCGATTTCGATTTCGATTTCGATTTCGATTTCGATTTCGATTTCGATTTCGATTTCAATTTTCATTTCATTTCTTTTTATTTCATTTCATTTCATTGTGCAGAGAAACAATAAATGAAATTAAACAGTTTTTATTATTCTTTTCTGGATGAGGCGTGCTACTTAATCACTGGAGGTTTACTTCAGTCTCTGAAATAAACTTTATTTAGACAATGATGAAGAGGATGAAGAGGAGGGGGTTGATCTAATCAATACTTCACAGCATACAGAAAAGGTTAAACTAGGAATTTTGTAAAAATGCAATTATCTTCTAATGATTCAAATTTTAAAGAATATGTTTGCAAAGTAAATGTTTTTGTCGCTAAATCTGAACTGTTTTAATAATTGTAAAAATTGACAGGGTGAAGCATCAGCAGTATATATTATTTTTGATCTATTGTTTTAATTTCGTTATTATTTTTTATATATATTTTGTCTTTATTAAAGGGAGTGACCGGCTATTTAAGGTAGTTGAACTGAGTATACAGTGTTGTGGAAAGCTTCTTTCGGATTCATTTGAGACATATTAAACTTTTAAAAGATTTGTAAATCCTGAGTTTGAGCGCAAATTCGATGTTCAAAACTCCTACTTTGGGGGTGGATACGTTTTCAGAATTAGTTTTTTTAAATTATTAAATAACGACGACATAAAATGTAAAAAAGTTCTTCTATAAACTACAGACGTCATGTATAGGAACATGTTGAGAAAATAAAAATTAATCTTTTCAACGAAAATAAGTAATCTTGTTCAATTATTAGTTTCTATTATCTCATTATTCTGGTTTCTCATTTTTCACAAAGTTTCTGCAGATTTTCTAGAATTATTATTGAAAAGACGACATTTGAAGAATTTGAAGAAATCTGCGAATAGATTCAAAGAAAATTAGAAATTCAATATAATAATCAAAATAATCAATTTTAGCAGTGATTTATTGACAAATTTCTTTTGAGAAATATGTTCCTTACCATCAATTAGATTACTGTATTATTTTTACTTTATTTTTCGTTGTCGTTATTTAATAATTTAAAAAAAAACTAATTCTGAAAACGTATCCACCCCCTAAGTAGGAGTTTTAAACGTCGAATTTACGCTCCAATTCAGGATTTACAGATCTTTAAAAAGTTTAATATGGCTCAAATGAATCCGAAAGAAGTTTTCCACAACACTGCGTACTCAGTTCAACTACCTTACATAGCCGGTCACTCCCTTTAATAATTAATATTTATTATATAATTCCCTCAGGAGAATCTCAATCCTGGAGAGTTTGTGACTGGAAGAAACTTCAGGTTAGAAACAAGTCCTTACCCCCAAAATGCCCACCCCTTTTACCTTAACCACTAAACATCCTGATGAAGGAAAAATTGGGTTCTGGGGGGGGGGGGTAGTCTTTTGTTCCATAGAGGGTGTCTTTAAAAAGTTGCGATATTTTTCTTTTTTGTTAAGAATGCATAGTTTTAGTCAATTATTATGGGTTTCACAATTAATTATTTTAAAATCTACATTTTAAATCAATCACAACACTACCTTCATCAGGAGGTTGGCCTATCATAAGCACTAAACAGTGAACACAGATATGAATCTTTAATAATAAAGCAATAAATTGATAACAAAATATGAAGTCAACATAAAAGAAAACACAAACTGGAAGGAAAAGGATAAAAATATGTCTTTTATAGATATGCTTTGCTTGTTTTGGTGTTCGTTTTTTTTCCAATAAACGTCAAAAGGGCTGAACCGATCGGGCCCAAATTTTGTGTACGACCTCACATCATGACCACAGGGAAGGTTTATTAATGCATAGATTTACAAAAAAATTCCCCCAAACATTTTTGAATGTCGTAAAATTTTGAAAATGTACGAAAAAAAAATTGTAAATCCGCAAAATGAATTTTTTGTTGTTTATTGAAGAGAAAATTTTTTAAGAGTAAGAAATGACTGATAATTATGTATTATCGTTGAGATAAACTAGCTTAAATATTGTTTAGACGGTCTGGTAGATCTCCACTTTGTTCTTTACCCTCTGCTTCTAAACTAGATCAAGTCTACGTTAATCGTAAAGGTTAGTTTTAGTAGATTCAAAAAGTTTGATTTTGTTGCAAAAATCGTATTCTTTAGTACAATACATGAATTTTAAAAATGTTTGTAAAAAGGATGAGTTACTAAAGAGTTATTGAAAGTATTGAAGTATAAAATGTTTGTTTTTTTAAGTATTAAAAGGATATTTCTCTTATATATTATCAAAGTAAGTTCAGAATTGAAGTCAAATGAGTTTGTCTAGAGAGTAATGAGGGAGAAATAGAATTCCATAGTAAACCTATGAATACAACCCCTGCTCCATCATGTTCTACCACCGAGAGACCTGCTCCAACATGTTCTACCACCGAGAGACCTGCTCCAACATGTTCTACCACCGAGAGACCTGCTTCAACATGTTCTACCACCGAGAGACCTGCTCCAACATGTTCTACCACTGATAGCTTTGCTTTGGGAAGCATTGCTACCGCGCCTGGGTTCTCGACTAATAACTTTGTACTTGGAAGCATTGGTTCACTAGTTGGAGATTGTATGTATTCAGCTGGAAGCACAGATCGTCATCCGATCCCTGGAGAATATGATCAACATATTTCAAGTGATCTTTCTCAGCTAACCATAGGAATACTATATTCAGTTACTACAGACCCCATTGCGCTTTTTTAGAAAACCAGCCCCTAGTCTTGTTGCAAATATGGGGCTCCTCTATTTCGAAAATATTTATTTCAATGATTTGAGTTCTACTTTGAAAATGCAAATCCACTCAGGTACAACACAAAATTACCTGCATATCAGTGCTAAGGATCCATTCAATTTTGATGCAGATCCGGATCCGGATTCTGGATCCGCACTGGAAAAAAATGGATCCAGGTTATTTCACAGAAACTTCAAATTTTTCGTCTTATTTTTTTCGCTTATTTTTATGCTAACTTGATGAGGCATGCAGAAATCAGGAAACTTTTATACTCTCTCTTTTTTCAGTAGTTCAGATTTGGGTTTTGAGAGTAAATTTTTTTTGTTTCAGTGTTTTGGTTTATTTTTGCACCTTGGATCCGGATCCGTGGATCTGCATATTATTGCGGATCCGTATCCGGATCCAGGAAGCTAAAATCTTGCAGATCCAACAGATCCGGATCCTAAGCACTGCTGCATATCTTTCAATTTTTTCTCGCTTTTTTAACCTGCATTCTGCTTGGCACCAGTGAATTACTTCTAAATCAATACATGTACAAACTTTATAGATGCTTGTTGTTAATATTTAAAAAAAACGGGTCCCAGGAATAACTGACTAACGAGTTTTTTAAGTTCTTCTTTCTAAATTTTAATCTTACTGAAGATATTGAATTGAAGGAGATGACAGTGTGTTTACCCGTGTTAGTATGGATACAGGAGATACAACTACTACCAGCTCCTTCACACTTGGATATATAGGCAAACTATCATGTCCCTGCTTAGCATCACTCAATACATTTCCTAGCCTTTAGTTGCTTCGTTTTTTTGGCAGTTTTTGTGTTTATTTATTTACTTTTTCGTTTCTTATGATGTAAAACTTTTATCACGCCATTAGATACATACAAAAAAAAAGATCGACCCAAAAGCGATAAAAAAATGAACATTTTCATGTGGTTTTTAAATTTTATTTAAGGATAAAGATATCGCAAGTTTAGTAAAAGCAAACTTTATCAAAATGCAGTTTTGAATTTTTGGAAGTTTTATTGTTTTTTTTTAAACGATAAAAAACGATTTACAACACCAGCCGCAGTGCCAAACCTATTCTGTGGTTAATTAGTTTTAGTTTTTTAGTTTTAGTGTAACCCTAGAGTACATATTTTTATTAAAAAGATATAAAACTTATTCTTTCTGTTTTTTGTTCTGTGGTTCTTACTACTTTTCAATCTATCTTTGATTGCTCCACGTCGTATACGTACGACTGGACAATTCATCTTTTGTACTACAGGGAAGTTGAAATAATGCAATAAATCTTTAATAAATCTTATCATAATCGGGTAAATTATAATTATACTTGAAAAATTATGAACTAACGCCTCACTAAAAACACAAATTTGTACCTTGACATGGTAAGTTTGTGAAGGATCTGTATCTGAACCTTCTGAAGCTGATTCTCCTCTTCATAAATCTAATCTAACTGTTGAACCAGCTGATCTGGAAAACACAATCCATTCTGATTCAGTTTCTGATTCTATCAAAGAAACTACTACTGAACCTAAGGAAGATATTGAACTACTCCCTGTTCAGAATTTAGAGGAAGGGGTTGTAATGGATCAAGATGATTCAAAGCCTAGTAAAACAGTAACACCTGAAGCTCCAACCATTATACTGGTTACGCCATCACTTTCAGAAGATCCTGAGTTTAAGATGGGATCAGGAAATCACTCGAAAGAGTCACAGGTAATAATTTTGAGTGCAGAGTTATATATTTTGGGTGCAGGGTTATATATTTTGGGTGCAGGGTTATATATTTTGAGTGCAGGGTTATATATTTTGAGTGCAGGGTTATATATTTTGAGTGCAGGGTTATATATTTTGGGTGGGATCATGAAAAATTAAATAAGTTTTTCACCCTTTTGATGCATTTTTTCCAAATCCTATTTGTTTCCGTCAATTTATTATGAAAAGGGTTTGTTTAATTGCAATGGCCCTCCTACATTTACTGCACTGTGTGATATTTATCAATACACCCTTATAACTTGTATCTGAACAGTGGGGTGGGGATTTTATCTAAAACTTCTTTTTTAATATCTAATAAACAGCTGTTACCAGTTTTCAACTCCTTCCCCCCCCCCTTCCTCATTAAAATGAGGTTAGCGCGTCAATTTAAATGGATATATTTTAGGAACATGTTGATGATCCTGAAGTTCAATCTGGAAGTCCAAAAAGGTTAGAAATAATCTCCCTCCACTTAACACTCTTTTTCTTTCGTTTTAAACAGGTTTAAACTGAATCTTTTTGAAAATTAAGTTCAAATGAATTTTTGAGATTCCTGCTTTTTAACCCATCTAGATTAACAAATTACCTATAAGCCCTTTTATTTTGACTTAACATGTTTTTGGACATTATATTTTCTCTGTCTCTAGAAGGATTCTGAAGCGTGTAGCTTATTGTAATCTTAAAAGACTCGAAAAAATGGTACCTCTTTATGAGAAAAATATTCTATCTAAAAACTTAAACTGCTTAACATAAAAATTGTTTTTTACAAATTGTTTATTAACTAGCTTACTTCCAGGGATTCCTCTCTGGATATTACAGTTGACCCTGCTTGGTTGGAAGATACTGAAGTTGAGAAGATAATGTTTGATATGCTGGGACCAGAATATGATGAGGTAGGACTGTAATGATATGCTGGGACCAGAATATGATGAGGTAGGACTATATGATATGCTGGAACCAGAATATGATGAGGTAGGACTATAATGATATGCTGGGACCAGAATATGATTAGGTAGGACTTAAATGATACACTGGGTTCAGAAATAATCAGGAAGATCAAAAATGATATTTAAAAAAAAATATATTTTAGATTGTTGAGAAAATGACAAAGAAAGAACTGTGTGACTTGAAATACAAGATCGACAATCTGACCAACGACGAGAGACGAGAAATCGACAAACGACTACAGCAGATGATCGACGAAGAAGAGAACAGTTTGTGTAGTCGCCGAGCATCATCAATGTATGGTCGAAAGTTCTCCCTGGGAGGATTGAACTCACCCCGACATTCCTCGCTGTCAGGTAGGGGTACATATTTTCTTTTAAATTTTCTTAATTTTAAAAAAATTTCAGATGTTTGTTTACGCATGGTGGACATTTTGTTTGGGTTTATTTGGTGAAAATAATTGATTTTTTACGGAAAATAAAGAACTTTTCGGGGTTAATAAGTGAATTTTTTAGTAAAATTCATTTAACAGGGGCGAAAAAAAAACTTGCCTTTTGGTGTCCAAATATTCAATTTTTTTCACAGTAGAGGTCTCAAAAATATATATCCTTGCTGTCAGGTCTGATGTCTCCGTGTCAGCTGTCAGTTGTCAGCAATCTATCCCGTCAACAGCTGTCCGTTGGCAGCACTATATCTCCTTTCTCACTTAGCTCGGAAACATCTGTCAACTCGAGGAAATCAATCCAGCAATCATAAAACATTTATTTGGTCGGGGTATTGAAATCAAAATATAAGGTTTTATCTTACCAGTACATTCCACAGTGTTAACTGCACAATTTATTTCGAATATGTAATACACCAACCACTTCTTTTATGAAATGATTAAAAATTAAAAAGTCTGTAAAATCTATTTAGAAATTATTTTTTTAATATTTAAACATCAATAACATGGAAATGTTCATCTAAGTTCGTCACAAATTGCGTTCTTGAAGAAAGAAAGAGCGGAGCGTTCTGCATTTCTTTCTTTTATCGAAGTAAGTTTGTTTAATCAAGATATCCTGATTCTTCAGATTCTCTTAATGATATTATTTCTGTCAAATCTAAGTTAATTAATTGATTGTTTGCGCTTCATTAGTACTGTATCTCCGACATGTTCTATCAATAAACCCTCGATGGAACAAGACACCAGCAAGATGACCGAGTATAATTTGGTAAATCCGGTCGAAATACGGTTTACCGAATCTACAGCTTCAGCTCGTTCGGATCAAACTGGAGACCTTAACGCTGGTAAATCCGGCGCTCTCTCAAGGCCGGTCAAATCCGATTTCTCTTCTGATAATGATTATATTACCGCAGAATCTGATTATCCAGGGGATGAATCAGAAACTGAGAAACGAAGCACTGATTATTACGAGACATCCACCAACGATCCTACTGATAACGAAACAGAGACTGATGAGCCGGCTGAAACTGAAACGTCTGGGAACTACAGCGCCTGCACAGACACAACGACAGAACCGGTTTTCCGTCCCAGCAGAGTTAGCGTTGTACCTGTTCATGATACAGATACATCATTATATACAGATTCAGATTACCAAACTTATTCAGAATCAGAAATCATTCAAAGGTAATTGTTCATTAAGGAATAACTATTGATTTAATTTTTTTGAACTTTTAAAATTAATTTTGATATTATATTTCATATTAAATGTTAAAGAAATCCATAGTTAACCATCACTACTTAAGCTAATTTTTGACATTAGAAACCTTTCATAGGGTTACAGCAGTAAACATAGTTTTTGTGGATTAATTTTAAAACTACTCCATTCAAATATTTGTTTTTTTAAAGAATTGTTAAGTGATCCTATATTCCTTATCCAAATCTTTCTCATTGTCACTTAGATTTGAAGTGCGTTTTTTCGCTCCTGTATAAATGAATGGTCACTTTAAAGTCACTGCTAGCAGTAACACTTTGCCGCAATCAACATTTTTCTGAGCCAAATTATTATTCAGGGAAGAAGGTCTGCCTAACTACCTGATGCCAACCTACTCAAGTATTCAGAAATGTTCCCCACAGAAACCGTGTAGATCTCCTCTTAAACCCTGGATACCCCCCTCCCCTCAGGTACGATTCTTTTTATTAGTAGAATTGGGGTAAAGAAACGGGGTCTAAAAAATATAATAGAAAAGGTAAACGAAATTCCCAAAAAAGGATGTCGGGGGAAAAAAGAAAATAAAATCGACCGCTGTTATAGATTTTTAAATTGATGTCCTGAATATTCGTCAAGATTTATGTATTTATGTGACTTATGCTAACTTATGGAATTCTCTTATATCCTTCACCAGCCCAGAGGCCGAATTTAAAGAATTTAAGTCGCGGCTTAAATCCGCCAAAACCCGGTTTAAATTGAGCGCCGGCTTAAATCTTGAAACATTTGATACAATTTTAAGTTAAACCAACCATAATTAAGCCGCGGCTTAAATTTAAACCGCGGCTCAAATTCTTTAAATTCGGCCTCAGAGGTCTGAATAATAATCCAAACATGAACCTAAGAGAATTTAAAATTGTTAACTCTGTAGTCTGTGGATACAGTAGCTGGTGATTATAACAATAAAATGAAGACAAATTTGCATTAATAATGATTTAATCCCCAACAATCATCTCTTAAATGACAAATGTAAAAGCAAACACAGAGAAGCCATTAATTGACAACTCCTCTTTGTTTAAATGTTTGTTTGTCTCTGCTGTTTAAAAGATTGGTAGAAATAAAAAATTGAAGTGAAAATTCTTCTCTTTGTGTTGATAAATACAAAGACGACTGTAGCTTAAAATCCTTTTATTTTAGAAGATGTTTACGAACCCCTCTGTATCTCCTAGCATGAAACCTGTCAGTCGTCTTCTATTTAAACCTGAGTTGACCCCCAGCAAGGGTTTAAGACTGAGTCCTGGCCGACAAGGGACTCCTGGATTTAGTACTCCTTCAAGCAAATACAATCCAGTGTTCAAGTAAGTTTTCAGCATTAATAAAACTGGATTAAATTAATTGACTCTACATTTAATGCTTATTGGGATGTCCAATTCACAACGATTCCCTTTAAACCTATGAGAAATAAAAAGGAAATCGTCTTGTTTTCTAATCTGCTGTTTCACCGTTTCTGCAGTTGAAATCCGAAAGTCACGTTCAAAGAGAATCCACAATCATAAATATAAATTTTCAGTTCGTTAAACAAGGATATCTTACATCTGCTTAACAAATCGGACATGTTACCTATTAAATATATTAACAAATGGGACATGTTACCTATTAAATATATTAACAAATCGGACATGTTACCTATTAAATATATTAACAAATCGGACATGTTACCTATTAAATATATTAACAAATGGGACATGTTACCTATTAAAACTCTTTTTTAACAGGTTCCGCTGTAAATCGAACATACCACTCTTTGTATTGATAGTCACTATGATCAGCGTCTTTATTCCCATGAAATATTTAAACTTTAAGATTGGAGGTTATTGAAAGTGTTTGTGGTGTAACCTATCAAAACTATATAAATAGCAATTAAGTAGGGACCGAATGTAAAAAATTTAAGCTCCGTCACTGACCTACTTACTGCTGGGTTTAAATTTGAACCACCGATTGTTTAAGAGACTGGAAGGATTTGAATTGGTGATTCAAATATGAACCGACGGTTGACAGTTCAGCGACCCCTCAAAATCATTAAATTGGGTCCCAGGTTTAAAACCTAAACTTAATGTAAACTTGATACTCCGCACTGAACCTTAAACCTTAACCGGGGGCTGCAAATTCATACAAATATACACCTCTGAGTATCTGAAGGAAAATCCTCTCATTTCTGATTAATATGATAACAGACTTGAACATAAATTTGATTTTTACTGGTTTTTATAGGGGTTTAAAAACAATATATATCAATTGTTATTAATCAAATTGTAAACACCTAGGACTCCCCAAAGCAGCGCAAAATCAAGAATTCCGCATCTTAAAGGAGGTATATATCATAAATTTTCACGTTTATACATTTTATTTAACAATTTCGTAACTTTGAAAATGAATAGAGACAAAGAATATTTTCTTAAAAAATGATAATTTTAAACTTGGTTGTTGTTTTTTCCATGCTTTTTTTATTCCCAACATTAACATTCTTCTTTACACAGAAGATAAATGTGAATAAGATAATTTGAAGATCCTATCGTAATATTCTATCCTGCACGGACCCAGAGATTCATTCGTCCAAGAAATCTTGATTAATGAATATTTTGTAGGATTGGGAGGACCTATTGCTAGTCCTATTGGAGAATATATCAGGAATAATCCTGTTCCTCATTTAGTTCAGTAAGTACATTTTGTTTGTATATCCGATCTTAACTCAGGAACTCCATGACCGATTTGCCAATAATTTTGATTAGGGACTCGGGAAAACCACGGGAATCTTATTTGCGCGTAAATGCTAGCAGTGAAGTGGGTCGACTTTTTTTTAAAGAAACATAGCTAAAATCGGAAATTAAGACCAAACGCGGGTGAACGACGGAAGTAAAAGCTGGTTCCCAAGTTAGTCTATATCAATAAGTAAAAATCTATGTCTGCCTATCTGTCTATATGTTTGTCTGTCTGTCTGCCTGTGTGTTTGTCACATATACCCCAAATTTTGATTTGGAAACTCGTTAAAAACCACAGCAATGTTCTTAGCTTGGATTACAGATTATAATCTGATTAGGTTGCATTTTATAGAGAAAGTTTTGCTACATAAAGAAATAATTGTTTTTACGGTTAATTTTGACGGATGCTCAGCCCTGACTTCTATGGAATGATGGTTGATGGATTTTTTTCTACTTCTTGAGATCATACTTCCTATTGTTTACATTAACAACATGGATAATTTCTGCCCCTAATATCATTTAATCTACTTTAGTGGCTGTATTGAATGGAATTAATTGGACCCCTGGATCCAAGGTACTAATGCAAGGAAAGTTAATTGCGGTCGCGTATACTCTGCGCACATGTTTAAACCAGTTCTCTCTGGGCGGAATTTCTAAACAAGAATAGATGCATCAGTGTTCGTTTAATATCCGAGGCGGTTAAAAGCATTTAATCTTTATAATTTTGAAAATTCACATAATGGTTTCCTATGACCAGAATATTTCATATATTATTTTTGTGAAAATGGATTACATGTCAGGCTGTGACATCCGTCTTGTGTTTACTTTTCCGCCCAAAGACAGTATACTGCAGTACAAAAAATGTGTACACCTCTGAAATAACCTTCCGTGCATTAGTTCCTTACCTCCAGGTCAAGGGGGTATTTAGTAAAGTTTTACAAATGTATGTCTACCAGGAATGTGAGGGCTAAGGATGTGAAGGCTGATCTTGAATCCACTCTCATGGAACCTGCTCAGAAACAACAGGTTGGGCTAAACCTTAGCTATAAATGATCCGACAATAAATGGACCAAAACTAATTTTCATTTTCTCTTCTTTAATTATTATCGTAAAAGAACTTATAGAGAGAGGATCAGATAGTTTCCTCTTGCATGTTATTTAAAGTTAGATTTCAATTCTTATACCTCCTATACTGTATATATGTTTCTTTTTACATTTTAGTAAATCAGTGGCCGAATTTAAAGAATTTGAGCGGCGGTTTAAATTTAAGCCGCGGCATAAATATGGTTAGTTCTACTTAAAGTTAAAATTGTATCAAATATTTGAAGATTTAAACCGGCGCTTAATTTAAACCGGGTTTTGGCAGATTTAAACCGCGGCTCAAATTTTTTAAAATTCCATCTCCTGGTTTAGGCAAGAAGTTGTGTTCTTCATTAGAAAAAAATGTAGGGAAGCATGTTTTAGGGTAATTACCCCCCCCCCCGCTCACACAACACATGGCCAAAAGAAAAGATAAGATTGGTTCTAAGAAATATGAACAAATCTGCTTCAAACTATTTAACTAATAAGATTCAAAGTAAATATTCAAATTTTGATGTATGTAGGAGTAAATAAGCTTGATGTAAAAAGAGATTTATTTTTATTTTTTAATATTTCCATTTTTCCAATTTCTGTGATATTTCATATGTTCATAAAAATCTTATTTTTTTTCGAGATTTTAAAAATATATTGTTAAAAATCTCAACTTTGGAAAATGTTCTATATTTTGTTCTCATTTTTTTTTGCAAATTTTGTTAAAAATTGTAAAAAGAAAAAAACATTCATTATTTTTTTCGGGTAGGGGGTAACTTTGATTGTTACATGTTTTGTTAATGTTATTTAAGAATTGTAAAAAAACATGTCCTCTACTGGCTGAAACACCTAGTGAAATAATACTAACGTCTTTACGCTCTTATTTAAAAATTGTATACCGTAAAAATGTCTTAATGGTATTAAATGACTCAAAGTTATTCTCAATAATACTGCACTTTCAGATAGACGGTCTCTCCCTTTAAAGCTTATTTTCAAGTGACCCTATAATTTCAATGTGGAAAATACTGTCGTTTTTTTGGTTTTTAAGTAAATCCGATAATACCTAAATGTTTTCCTTTAGCAGAAATTGGCAAATCACATATGTAGAGAAACCGCTATTGAAAATAATCAGTTTTCAAAACTAAAAACAATAATATCTAATTCGTAATTTATCAGAAAAAAACATTTAAGGGTACCGTTGTGAATCGAGCATTTTCATTTAAACTACGCTTAGTCCCTTTAATGAAACGTTAACATGATTTGATGACGGAGAGATTCAATTCAATTGATCTGATTTTAAGAAGACGACCTACAGTTCTGTTCAATAAAGAAATTGTATTGATACTTTGTAATCAATGCGCTGAAAACTTGAGGGGTGAAACAATTACAACGCCTTTTGGGCGGAAAGGACACATGACCAATATAAATATTACGAAATTGAATGAACCATTTTAAAAATGGCATGATTAGGAGAACAAGTTCCCCAGCCTTCCCTGTGCCACCTATACGGCAGCTAAACTTGCACAGGTAATCAATCAACCAATCAATTTATCAGTTAGTCATTAAATCAATCAGACCATTATTAGTCAAGCAATCAATCTATTAGTAAGTCAGTCATTTAGTTTATCGTTTTAACAGTCAGAATCCGTCAGTCAATCAACCAATTAGTCATAATAGATCTAATCAAATAGGCTATATAGCTAATGTTTGTCAAAAATCTAAAAGTTGATAATTATGAATCATCTGAACACAATATAATGGTGGTTTGTTGGCAATTAATTTACATTAATTCAGTTGATTATTGATTTTGATTCTGCAATTGCTTGGTTTTCTCAATAATTTTTTATTTAAAGGATACTGAGTATGACATGACCGGGAAAGATTATGAAATTCACAAAGCCTACGGACAAGAGCAAACTTTAGTGAAGGTAAATAAATTAATTAATTAAAGTTTTTTTTACCCCTACTTCTTCGCTGGGTTGTATTTAATTGAAAATTCTTCTGACAAAATAGATCTTTAAATCGGAATTAGCTTATGACATTTGGAAAAAATTTTGATTAATTTAATAAGAATTGAAATTAAAAGGGGAATTATCACTTTTATGATTTGATTGAGATTTGATATTTTTCTTGTCCAACGCGCTATAAATGGTAAAGGTTTTTTATGTAAAGTCTGCATATTTTTAATTGTCCGGATTCTGAAGAAAAGCGGCTTTGGAATGAGGAAGTGTTGATCATGATCCATAGGACTGTGCTTTGGTTTGTATTCGCTCCAAAACTTGTAGTTTGGGTCCGTATATCAACGTTGCTCTAAGAAATCAAAGTCTCAAACGTTGGCTATGGAAAGAAGTTGATAAAACTCCCGTTTGACGCCACAAAGTTCAGTTAAGTTGAGGGGGCGGGAGGGATTAGAGATACAAAAACATCCACAAATATTAGGGACCAGATATGGATTAGAGAGACAAAACCATCCACAAATATTAGGGACCAGATTTGGATTAGAGAGACAAAACCATCCACAAATATTAGGGACCAGATTGGGATTAGAGAGACAAAACCATCCACAAATATTAGGGGCCAGATACGGATTAGAGAGACAAAACCATCCACAAATAATAGGGACCAGATTGGGATTAGAGAGACAAAACCATCCACAAATATTAGGGACCAGATTGGGATTAGAGAGACAAAACCATCCACAAATATTAGGGGCCAGATACGGATTAGAGAGACAAAACCATCCACAAATAATAGGGACCAGATTGGGATTAGAGAGACAAAACCATCCACAAATATTAGGGGCCAGATACGGATTAGAGAGACAAAACCATCCACAAATATTAGGGACCAGATTGGGATTAGAGAGACAAAACCATTTACAAATATTAGGGACCAGACGCGGATTAGAGAGAGACAAACCATCCACAAATATTAGGGGCCAGATACGGATTAGAGAGACAAAACCATCCACAAATATTAGGGACCAGATTGGGATTAGAGAGACAAAACCATTTACAAATATTAGGGACCAGACGCGGATTAGAGAGAGACAAAACCATCCACAAATATTAGGGACCAGATTGGGATTAGAGAGTCAAAACCATCCACAAATATTAGGGACCAGATTTAATAAAAGACGAGACTGTAAAATAAAGATGAATCGTGCAGACTAATAAGTTAAACCAAGGATTTAATGCAAGAAAAGTTATTTCACTGGTGTGTGCATCTTTTGTACTGCAGTGTACTGTCACTGGGCGGTAATGTAAACACAAGACGGATGTCGAAACCTGACATGGGATCCATCTTTCACATAAATAATCAATGACATATTCTGGTCATAGGAAACTATTATGTGAATTATCAAAATTATCAAAATTCAATGCTTTTAACCTCCTCGGATACTAAACGAACACTGAGGCATCTATTCTTGTTTACAAATTCCGCCCAGAGAGAACTAGTTTCAATATTTACACAGAGTATACGCAACTGCAATTAACTTTCCTTGCACAAGTTAATGGGGACCTCAGCCATTTTATAGCGTATGGATCGGATATATATGGATCAGATAGCGTATGGATCAGATAGCGTATGGAACGGATAGCGTATGGATCAGATAGCGTAAGGATTGGATAGCGTATGGATCGGATAGCGTATAGATCAGATAGCGTATGGATCAGATAGCATATGAATCAGATAGCGTATGGATTAGATAGTGTATGGATCAGATAGCGTATGGATTGTATAGCATATGGATTGGATACATTATTAAAAATACAATCTGAATATGGCTGAGGACAACGAAAAACTTAATCAAAGAGTAGAAGAGTCAGTAGGGACTGTGTTTTGGCTGAGGGCATCGGAAAACCGCATTAAAAATAATAAATACAAAGGTTCAAATGTGGTAACTATCTTAATTGATTGGAAAGCGTATGAAATGGATAGCGTATGGATTGGGTAACATATGAATCAGAAAGCGTATGGATCAGATACAGTATGGATTGTATAGCATACTGAAGGGATAGCATTAAGGATCAGAAACATTATCAAAATTGGAGTAGAAGAGTCAGTGGGGACTGTATTTTGGCTGAGGGCATCGGAAAACCGCATTAAAAATAATTTATGCAAAGGTCCAAATGTGGTAATTATGTCAAGATTGGATAGCGTATAGACTTGATAGCGTATGGATCGAGTAGCATATTAATCAGAAAGCATATGGATCAGATACTGTATGGATTGCATAGCATACTGATCGGATAGTATATGGATCAGAAACATTATCAAAATTGGACTGGAATTTGGCTGAGGACTTCGGAAAACCTGATCTAAGAGTAGAAGAGTCAATGGGGACCGTATTTTGGCTGAGGGCATCGGAAAACCCCATTCAAAATAATTACTGAAGGTCNCGATTGGTGCCAAGCTGTCCGCGTAAAAATTGAAGTAGAACTTTCGATTGGTGCCAAGCTGTCCGCATCAAAATTGAAGTAGAGCTTTCGATTGGTGCCAATCTGTCTGCATCAAAATTGAAGTAGAGCTTTCGATTGGTGCCAAGCTGTCTGCTTCAAAATTGAAGTAGAGCTTTAGATTGGTGCTAAGCTGTCCGCATCAAAATTGAAGTAGAGCTTTCCATTGGTGCCAAGCTGTCCGCATCAAAATTGAAGTAGAACTTTCGATTGGTGCCAAGCTGTCCGCGTAAAAATTGAAGTAGACCTTTCGATTGGTGCCAAGCTGTCCGCATCAAAATTGAAGTAGAGCTTTCGATTGGTGCCAAGCTGTCCGCTTCAAAATTGAAGTAGAGCTTTCGATTGGTGCCAAGCTGTCCGCTTCAAAATTGAAGTAGAGCTTTTGATTGGTGCCAAGCTGTCCGCGTAAAAATTGAAGTAGAACTTTCGATTGGTGCCAAGCTGTCCGAGTAAAAATTGAAGTAGAACTTTCGATTGGTACCAAGCTGTCCATGTAGAAATTGAAGTAGAGTTTTAGATTGGTGCCAAGCTGTCCGCATCAAAATTGAAGTAGAGCTTTCGATTGATGCCAAGCTGTCCGCATAAAAATTGAAGTAGAACTTTCGATTGGTGCCAAACTGTCCGTGTAAAAATTGAAGTAGAGCTTTCGATTGGTGCTAAGCTGTCCGCTTCAAAATTGAAGTAGAGCTTTTGATTGGTGCCAAGCTGTACGCATCAAAATTGAAGTAGAACTTTCGTTTGGTGCCAAGCTGTCCGCATCAAAATTGAAGTAGAACTTTCGATTGGTGCCAAGCTGTCCGC